CTATCCACTGAGCCAAACCGATTTCGGCTGAAATTTTTATTAAAACGTTCTGGGCCACAAAAATATTTGTTGTGGGCCCCATACAGCCCGTGAGCAGTGAATTTGACATCATTCTTTTCCACATTCAGGAAAATACTTACTGAGCACCAACTATGAGTCAGACAACAACGATTTCTCCTCCATGAAATCATCTCTGACAAACCCAGCTTGAACTGCTGCCTTTTCTGAACTCTTTCAACCATTCTGATCCCTACCATTTATTTTTGCACTTACCCACAATTCTGAATCAATCCTTCATATTTTTCTCTCCAATAAAACTAATCATCATTGTGTCTTTGGTATTACCACAATGAATAAGTAAATAAGAAGAGGGTCCTTAACTTTGGTTTTGCTCAAGAGTTCAGCTCCCTAATCATCATATCTATTTTATAATGTATAACTTGGTACAGTACTGGTTTTCAAACCATTTCTTAACAGCAAATCCTTTTAACAAATATAATCGATACATAAAATTGCTAAAAGCAGGTCATCTCTGGATAAAATGAGTAAGGCCTAATGTACCAACCTGATGTGTATCCCCGACTGTCATCCTCTGGGATACCTAAAAGGAATCTGGTACTAGTTTGAAAGTCTATGGAGCCTGGCCTCTGTGGCTCAGGGATTGAGAGTCACAGTTCGATTTCTGGTCAGGGCACATGCTGGATCTCCAGTAGGGGGCGTGCAGGAGGCAGCTGATTAATGATTCTTCCTCACCATTGGTGTGTCTATCTCCCTCCCCCTTTCTCTCTGAATAAAAATTAAAAAAAATTTTTAAAAGGACTTCTAAATAAAAGCCATCCACTAACTTGGTGTGCTTATTAAAAAATAAAAAAATAGCCGAAACCGGTTTGGCTCAGTGGTAGAGCATCTGTCTGCGGACTGAAAGGTCCCAGGTTCGATTCCGGTCAAGGGCATGTACATTGGTTGCAGGCACATCCCCGGTAGGGGGTGTGCAGAAGGCAGCTGGCTGATGTTTCTCTCTCATCGACGTTTCTAGCTCTCTATCCCTCTCTCCTCCTCTCTGTAAAAAATCAATAAAATATATTTAAAAAAATAATAAAATAAAATAAAAATAAAAAAATAAAAAATAAAAAAATAAAGCACTGTCAGGAGACCCAAAACTCTGACACTAACAAGACTACTCCATTAATGTGACCTCTTTCCTCCATGTGATCTCCAAAAGGTCCTCTGGTTATTACTCTCTAGACGGGAAAGTCCCAGGAAATACCTTGAACGCAAAGGAAGAAATTTTTAAAACCACAGTTGCAATGTTTATACTAAGAGTGCACAACTTGCTAGAGCCACATTACTTTTCCTTTTTCTTTTAACAAGCATCTAGCTTCTGAAAGCTAAGCTAAAATAACGCCTGAAGCAATTAGAAGAGAATCTGGGACAAAGGAATTCTAAGTGGCTTGTTAAAATTCTGTAAAGAGCAGTCTTTACAAGATGCTTCCTTATATTCATCATCAGTCAAAAACGATTGTACAAAATTCTATCAACACTAGGACTCCTCATATTGTTACTAAAATAAATACAGACAAAAGCAATGGGCTTAGTGTAGGCACTGAATGAGCAGTGAATTAGAATTTTTCACCATTCAGCACCAACAGAAAGGAGTCAGGTCTGAGATAAGTGAAAACAGAAGTTGCCATAGTAACTCACACATTTACCCTAAAAAGGCCGGACCGGGGATGGGGGGCTGGAAAGTAGGTCAATATTTCTGCCTAACTAGCTCTATTTCTTGGCTTCCTCTCCTCATCTAAAGCAGCATCCTCTTCCTTCCCCACCCACTACAAGAACAAGAAGGGAGAAATAAGGTGATAGAAACTCCTTTAAAAAAAAAAGCAAGGGGTGAGGAAAGGTCCAGCAGAGGGAAGGTGAACTAAAAGGCCAGCTCACTAAAAACCTCAGGAGGGCCCGGGACTACCCCTGGGAAAGCAGTTGCTGATCAAGGGCTCCAGTGCTAAGAGACTGTTGCTGGGTTACCACAAATCAGAAATTGCCATTTTCCCTGTAGCAGCTTAAGTGCACCTAATGGGACACTTGGGAATGCATTATTAACAGCTTTGGGTTGGGTTAGTGCTGGAGAGGGATGAGCACTCTGGCATGGAAGAAACCTGAGACCCTTAGCAACAGGCATTCTTTGATGGTTAAAACTACGAATTAGGCTCAAGGATGGCCTAAAACAGAAAAGCAAGGAGGGAAGCTTAGAAGGTTCCTTTTCAAAGTCAGCTGATTTTGCTAACACAGAAACAGTGCCCTTTGATACTCTGATCTAAAATAGCTACTATTCCAAGAAGGCAAGGGCACCCCTGGCCTCTGAGATGATGTGAAGAGTGCCAGAGCTCATTATCAGCTCTTCCTCCGCGGTGCCAACCAATGTGGGAAGAAGTTCCGCAGAAAGCATTCGGGAGCAGGTGCAGTTCCACTTCCCGCAGCTGTTAGTGTTTGCATGGGAATAACCCAAGGCATTAGTAATGATTTTTAACAATTTGGTGTTAAAGCCCTGGTATTCTAGAAGATGAAAGATAAGGGAGGGAGATCCAAAAAGCAGAAACATCTTTGTAACCAGTGAATATTTCAAACTCTAATTTCAATATATCTTGTTGTAGTCGTTGTACAGAGGCAGATCTAGGCTTCCATGGCTCAGGTCATTCCAATGTGACTGGGAAACTTTTTATTTCTTTTTATTTCTTTATTTTTTAATATATTTTATTGGCCAAACCGGTTTGGCTCAGTGGATAGAGCGTCAGCCTGCGGACTGAAGGATCCCGAGTTCGATTCCGGTCAAGGGCATGTACCTTGGTTGCGGGCACATCCCCAGTAGGGGTTGTGCAAGAGGCAGCTGGTCGATGATTCTCTCTCATCGATGTTTCTAGCTCTCTATTCCTCTCTGTAAAAAATCAATTAAAAAATATATTTAAAAAATAAATAAAAATAATAAAATTTATTTTTAAAAATATATTTTTTATTGTTTTTTTTACAGAGAGGAAGAAAGAGGGAGAGTTAGAAACATTGATGAGAGAGAATCATCGATCAGCTGCCTCTTACACACCCCCTACTGGGGATGTGCCCGCAACAAAGGTACATGCCCTTGACCGGATCGAACCCGGGACCTTTGGTCCACAGGCCAACACTCTATCCACTGAGCCAAACCGGTTTCGGCAGGACTGGGAAACTTTTCAAACCAGCAGAATATTAGGAAGGACGAGCTCAGTTTCAAATTTGAGCTCATGTATTCAGAAACACCTGCAAATTGTCTTATATTTCTGCATGTCTCTACTCCTCTGCCCTATTAGAGGAGGGAAAGAGGGTCAGAGACACAGCAACACTTAAGGGGACTTTAGAGACCATGAGCAGCCAACACATTTGGAGAGGAGCACTGAGCACGACCCTATTGCATGGGGAAGGGATTAGAGACCTGAAGGACCAGGTAGCAGGCCTCCATCAATACTCTGGGCAGGAGGAGCACAGACAGAGCCAAGTGCGCATAAACTTAAGGCAGGAGGCTATAGGCAAAGAAGGCCTGGGCTGGGGGCAGGCTGGGAAAGGGCAATGAGGGCAAAAGGGGACATATGTAATACTTTCAACAATAAAGAATTAAGTAAGTAAAAAAGATCTGAAGCAAATATGGCAAAATATTAAAATCTGACAGAATTGGTAAATGAAAACAAAACTCACGTCCCCGCCCCACCCCTGGAAAAAAAATAAAACAATAAGTCAATCACTTCATGAGGGAAATGTGAGAACAGATGCTATTCTTAAAAAAAAAATAACAATATATTTTTATTATTTTCAGAGAGGAAGGGAGAGGGACAGAGAGATAGAAACATCAATGAGGAGAGAGGGTCATTGATCTATTGCTTCCTGCACACCTTACACTGGGGATCAAGCCCGCATCCCAGGCATATCAAACCATGACCTCCTGGTTCATAGGTCGATGCTCAACCACTGAGCCACAGCAGGCTGGGCAGATGCTATTCTATTATGACTTCTCAGTACAGCCCAGGGAATTGACTCAGTCTTGCGAATTCGCATTTTTCTTTTACATAGAGCAGCACATAGGACAAGGAGAAGTTTGTGCAACAAATCACTTTGTAAAACATTCTACAACAAAAATATTCAAGCTCAAGCATACACAAAGTATAAAGAATAGAATGACCTATCACCTAGATTAAAAATTGATCAATATTCTAGTGCAAATCTTAAAGGAAAGATAGGGATCACGTTAGTGAAGGGTTCTAAGTGTTAGAAATCAAACCCCAAATGGCAAATTTCTAAATTCAACCAGGAACCTGAAGAGATAGGTACTGTAGGAAACCAGCAGTGAGTAAAGGAAAACAGACTTCTATTTAAATTTTTTGTTGTTAATCCTCACCTGAGGATATTTATTTTTTTCCATCGATTTTTAGAGTAGAAGGGAGGGAGCAGGAGGGGGGAAGGAAAGAGGGAAAGAGTTTGGGAAGGGAAAAGAGAAAAAAAACATCGACCTCAGAGAGACACATTGATTGATTACGGCCTGCACACACCTCAACCAGAGGTAGGTATTAAACCTGCAACCCAGGTACATGCCCTTGACTGGGAATCGAACCCATAACCCTTTGGTGCATGGGCCAAATGCTTTAATCATTGAGCAACACCAGCCAGGGCCCATTAAATTTATAAGGAATATCCAACAGAATACTTGTATCTGCAAGGTATTTCTACAAGTTATATTATCTGCATTTTTAATTCCTAAAAGATGCATTTCCAATTAATCTGTTTACTGAGCAAGAATCACTGTCTTGCACCAAACCATGAAAAAGGCTCCACAGTTACCAACGTCAGCCTTCCAAGACTGTGTCATGTTTACAACCACTTTTCATTCTGATGCAAACATGTGGAGCACAGTTAACAAAAACAGGAAAGCAAAGATTTAGTTCATTTATGACCTACTAAAACCCACCAAAAGCTGTACTTACTGGTACTGTTACATCATCATAAAAACTCCAAGCTAAGGCCCATCTCATTGTTCGGCCTTGACAGAATTCAGTGTAGGTGACTTTAGGAACCTGAAACCAACAAACACAGCATCTCATCAAATTGAAGTCATTCTACCAATATGCTTCTTGGCTGCTGCTTCATGTGAAATTGTGTCCCAAACAATTATGCATAGCTGCCTAATAATCAATGAGTAAATTATTTCTCAACCAAGTTGTGGCCTTTTCCCCCTCCCATAAAACATAAAAAAAATTTATAGTTCTGGCTTGAGATCCAAATATATGAAACATCCAAAACACAGCTCTTTAAAGCATTGGTAAAATGATTTGAATGGTTTTTTGTTTTCTTTTTGTGAGAAAGAAAGCCACCAAATGACTAGACACACCTTTATAGTCTCCCTTTTGTCTATCAGATTTTAAGAAAGAAAATGAAATGACTTTGTAGCTGTTAATAATTTTAACAAAGAAAAAGTGTGGTAGAGATCATAGGATAAGTAGAAACCAGAAATCAGAAACAGCTTCTACCACTGACCCCACATCTGATCTCTCTGGAAAGTAATCTTGCTCAGGCTTCCTCATGCCAAAATACCATAAACTGGGATGGGTGCTGAGGGATAGGAGAGTATTTACTCACCACATGCTTTTTAAAACAGAAGCAAGGGGCTGAACTTATGTGAATTGCACCACAGAGGGACACAAACTGTACTGAGGATCGTCTGATTCTAGGTGTTTTTTGATAACTAGATGCATAACCCAGACTTAATTTTCTTAAGGTATGTAGCCTTGAGTTTCTGCAGTTATAAAGGAATCAGATGTGGCAGGTAGACACCAGGTTGTTTTATATATTTTTTTAAATTTATTTTAGAGAAGGAGAAGAAAAGATAGATAGAAAGATTGATGGGAGAGAAACATCAATTGGCTGCCTCCTACATGCCCCCTACTGCCTCCTGCACGCCATCATTGAGGATGAAGCCTGCAGCCTGCATGTGCCCTGGCCAGGAATCGAACCAGTGACCTCTTGGTGCATGGGACAATGCTCAATCCACTGAGCAACACCAGGCAGGCAACACCAGGTTTTTAAAATTTTTAGTTTTTCTCTTGACATTCTGCTCATCCTGTTTTCCCACTTTTTCTTTGTTATAAGGAGCTGTCAAATAAGGCCTTATTTAAATAGTTTGTGAAAAGTCCCTTTTGGCCCCAAATTAAAAAATAAATAAGCAAAAACAAAAAACCCATTAAAAGATTTAAGGTGTAGATGAAAACCCTAGACTCCAACACCATCAACGGCAGCTGCACAAGGACAGGGATGAGGACGGCTTACCCCTTGCACTCGAAGTTCTTCCTTCAGAGGGGCAAGGCTGCATTTCTTTCCCAGCATGCAGCTGTACCACCTGGAGGGGACAGTCAGACAAGTAAAACACTGCTTATGTGGTTACTTTTTTGTAATCCTCATCTAAGGCTATCTTTATTGATTTTAGATCAAGAAGAAAGGAAGAATTTCAAAGAGGAAGGGAACAAGAGAGAGAGAAACAACGATGAAAGAGAATCATTGATCAGCTGCCTAGAGCCTGCAACCTGGGCATGTGCCCTGACTGGGAATCAGACAGTGATCTCCTGGTTTGTAGGTCAACACTCAACCACTGAGCCATGCCAACCGGGCAGAATACCCTATATTTGTAAGGCGAGTGAAAGAGAGAGAGGTCTGTCCCAGCTGGGTGATTGATTCAGTTAGCATTGTCCCAAACGCTAAAAAGGTATGTGCCTTGATTCCGGATGAGGGCACATACTTAGGTTGTGGTTTTGATACCTGGTCAGGATGCACCCGGCGGCAACTGATTGATGTTTCTTTCATACATGTCTCTCTCTCTCCCTTTTCCTAAAATCAATAACATATCCTCAGGTGAGGATTACAAAAAAAGGGAGGGGGAGGGGAAGAGAGGTCTCACCTGTAATGCTAAAAAGCAGGCCATTTAGCCTTAGGACAGAAATTAGTTAATAAATAACAATAAAGACATGTATACCTGAAACTAATACAATGTGTATCAATTATACCTCAATAATAATAATAATAAAAACCATGCACTGTATAAACACCCCTTCCCACTATTAAGAGAAATTGTAAAATCTACAATACCATTAACCTGTATTTTGAGATGCTCTAACTGGGATACATGTTACATTCCAGTTCTAACAGAACATGAAATCTATTTCTTCTATAGTAAATACAAATTCAGAAAAGGGAGTACAGAGAAGATGGAGTGAACTAGTTAAAAGTTAAAAGAACAGAATGTATTTCTTCTGATTATTCTATAAAAGTATGAGAAATCCAAACTTTATACTGGATTTCTCTTTAGCCTATGAAGAATTACTATGGAAATTGTCCTTTAAATATAAACAACTAGGAACTGGACAAAATACATAAAAGAACTGTTTTTTAGCCACTGGACAACTGCAGTAAAGACCTATGATCTCAGAGAGAAACAATCCAGGTGAGTCCTACATTTGCCAGAGCTTACTGACTGAAGGAAATTTCCAAGCTGCAATGCAGGGTAAGGAAATTCAAACAGAGCCCAAGAATCTTGCTGAATTGGTGAGCTAGATATTGGAGTTCAGAGAGGTCGAAGTGGTAAGGATCTGAATAGCAAAATACGAAAGAGGAAGGAGCTGCACAGAAACGGAATTCTGGGCATCTGTAGAGGAGTTCCCTAGAATATTCTGCAGAATAGTTACTATCTGCACATGTGGGTTGGAAGTCTATGAAGCTAGAGAACGAATGCTCAGACAGCCGTAAACTGAATGGAGCCCAGAAAGAGCTGGGACTAGTTTGTGGTTCTACTAGGGTGAGTAGAAAGCCTTTCTTAATGAAAGGGGTATCTAGTAGAGTTCTGGAAAGCATACTGGTTTTATAATGGGGCTAAGAGCTATTTTATACACCCCTCTGAAGCTTAAAAGCAAGACTCAAAAGGATCAAACTAATTACAAGTAAATTGAGAAAGCATAAAAATAACCCTCGCTGGTTTGTCTCAGTGGATAGAGTGTGGGCCTCCAGACTGAAGGGTCCCAGGTTCGATTCTGATCAAGGGCACATGCCCAGGTTTTGAGATCAATCCCCAGGAGTGGTGTGCAAGAGGCAACCGATCAATGTATAATATGTGCCCAGACTGGGAATCAAACCCCCAACCTTCTGGTGTCCAGGAGGACACTCCAATCACTGAGCCACCCAGTCAGGGCAGTCCAACATTCAAAGAAACAAAATGAAACACAGTATCCTAAATCATAGGATTTGCAATATGCAGCATCCCTTAAAAATTATGAAGTATTAAAAGAAGCAGGAAAATAAATCACAACCAGGACTAAAAAAATCAATCATTAGAAACAGACCAACACTTATTTCACTTAGTATAATACCCTTCAGGTCCATCCATGTTGCCAGTGGCAAGACTTTGATCTTTTTTATGGCTGAATAATATTCCATTATAAATACTATATCGTCTTTAGTTTGCATACCAAAGGCAGGCTCAATCTGGGTCCTTTGCTATCTCTAAAGATTGGCTAATCCAGGGAGGGGCAGTCTCTCTCCACTCAGAAAGATTTTCAAGACGCCAAAACATAATAATATATAGAAAATTAAAATCATTTAAAATACAAAGCCAGACACAAAAGTCTACATTCCATATGATTCATTTATATGAAAGTCTAGAACAATGATAGAGAAATACCAATCAGCTGCCTCCTGCACACCTCCTACTGGGGATATGCCCGCAACCAAGGTACATGCCCCTGACCAGAATCGAACCTGGGACCTTTCAGTCCGCAGGCTGACGCTCTATCCACTGAGCCAAGCCGGTTTCGGCGTAATAAGCAGCCTTAAATACCTATAAATCCTAAAAAGTAAAAAGAAAAAAATGTCTTCCCTATTTAGCAATTCCACTTCTGGGAATATACCCAAAGGAACTGAAAGCAGTGATTAAGAGATACTTGAACACCCTGTTCATACATAACAACATTATCCACAACAGCCAAAGCAACAAAATAGTATATACATACAATAAGATATTATTCAGCCTTAAAAAGGAAATTCTAAAAAAAAAAAAAAAAAAAGCCCAGCCAGTGTGGCTCAGTGGTTGAACATAGACCTATCAACCAGGAAGTCACAATTTGATTCCTGGTCAGGGCATGTAAGCAGGTCAGGGTTGCGGGCTCAATCTCTAGTGTGGGGCATGCAGGAAGCAGCCGATCAATGATTCTCTCTCACATTGATGTTTCTCTCTCCCTTCCTCTCTGAAATCAGTAAAAATATATTAAAAAAAAAAAAAAGTAGCCGAGACCGGTTTGGCTCAATGGATAGAGCATCGGCTTGGGGACTGAAGGGTCCCGGGTTCGATTCCGGTCAAGGGCATGTACCTTGGTTGCGGGCATATCCCCAATAGGGGGTGTGCAGGAGGCAGCTAATCAATGACTCTCTCTCATCGATGTTTCTAACTCTCTATCTCTCTCCCTTCCTTTCTGTACAAAATCAATAAAAAATATATAAAAAGTAAATTCTGACACACTCTATAACACGGATGAACAATGAGAACATGATGATAAGTGAAAGAAGCCAGCCACAAAAGGACAAAAACTACCTGACTCTATTTATATAAGGTACCTAGAATAATCAGATTCATAGAGATAAAAAGCAGAATGCTGCCCTGGCCGGTTTGGCTCAGTGGATAGAGCATAGGCCTGCAAACTGAGGAGTCCCAGGTTTGATTCCAGTTAGGGGCACATGCCTGGGTTTCGGGCTTGATCCCCATTAGGGGACATGCAGGAGGCAGCTAATCAATGATTATCTCTCAACACTGATGTTTCTCTTTCCCTCTCCCTTCCTCTCTGAAATCAATAAAGATATAGTAAAAAAAATTTTTTTTAAATAGAATGCTGGTTGCCAGGGGGTTGAGGGAGAGAGGAATGGGAAGTTGCTGTTTAACGTGTATAGTTTTACTTTTCCAAGAAGAAAGAGTTCTAGAGATTAGTTGCACAACAATATGAATGTACTTAACACTACTAAACTGTACACTTTAAAAATGGTTAAGATGTTTAATTTTGTTATGTACATTTTATCACAATTTAAAAAAAACCTCTGTATGTCCCAAAGCTAAATTCTAGGTTGAAAACCTTTTAGTTTTGAACTATTGCATTATCCATCATTTCAACAACACTTAGCAAGGTGAAAATTCAAGTGAGGCAAATAGCTCTTTTTGAGTATCTTATGCTGCTTAATAACAGGTGTGTTGCCTGAAATAATTAGCTTTTAAAAAGGAATAGCCTGCCGAGACTGGTTTGGCTCAATGGATAGAGTGTCGGCTTGGGGACAGAAAGGTCCCGGGTTCGATTCCAGTCAAGGGCATGTACCTTGGTTGTGGGCATATCCTCAATGGGGGTTGTGCAAGAGGCAGCTGATCTATGACTCTTTCTCGTCGATGTTTCTAACTATCTCTCTTCCTTCCTCTCTGTACAAAATCAATAAAATATATTTTAAAAAAAAAGAAAAAAAAAGAGGAATAGCCTTAACTCTCATCTGGAGCTGGTTAGTCATCTCAGTTTCTCTTCATTAAGTTTTTGATAGCTCAATGTCCTCACATCTGTCATTGTTTGGGAGACTTGATTCCAAGAACATAATTGTTTCAAGGATTAGGCAACTAATTTATCTGGTTCATGGGGCAAATTTAAACCCATCTGTTTTCTAATCAAAAGCCATATTTGAATCTGTTTTATTCCATCACAGTGCCGAAATAAAAGCAATACAAACATATGGTATTTTCTTCCTTCCAATCCCTGTAGCATAGATGACTACAGGAAAAGCAAATCAATTAAAGGCATGAGCATACTTAGAAACAGGGTCTCTGCGTACTGTAAGATGTGCTACCTTTTCAATTTTTGTTTGTTCTTTAGACATCTGTGATTACATTTACTCTAAGTGACATGGTTTCCTTTGGAATTACACGGGGAAAATATTCCCATTATCGTAATAACCAACTTACCGCAATCTTTTTTTAAGTTGTAAACTGTCATGGATGATTCTTTTAACAAACTCTAATTCGCCTCCTTCTGCCATGATCTCTGTGATGCCTCCTGTATTTACCGAACTAGGTGGAGGTCTTCGAGGATTTCGAGAGTTTACTCCCTGAAATACAACAAAAAACACTGGCAAAAAATTTTACACCTTAAGACCAAATTTCTGACTGTAATCTAGTTCTAAATAAAAATGCTTAGGCATAAATTTAATTTACAAGTGTCATGCTAGCTTTAGGATTTAAAAATCATATAATCATTACAATATTACATTTTAAAAACTGCATTGATGCACATATTCCTTTCTAGGATCTTTTACCTTCCATCTTTGTGATTAAACATACAAAAATTTTACTTTTTTATGTACTCAATTCTGTCATTTTAAAAAACATATATATTTTATTGATTTTTACAGAGAGAAAGGGAGGGATAGAAAGTTAGAAATATCAATGAGAGAGAAACATCAATCAGCTGCCTCCTGCACATCCCCCACTGGGGATGTGCCCACAACCAAGGTACATGCCCTTGACCGGAATCGAACCTGAGACCCCTCAGTCCGCAGGATGACGCTCTGAGCCAAACCGGTTTCGGCCAAACATTTTTTTTTTAATTTTTTTTTTAAATCAATCTTTATTGTTCATATTATTACAAAGGTTCCTCATTTCTTCCCCCCTCCACCAGGTTCCCACCCCACCCTCCGCCCTCTTCCCATCCCCCATTGTCCTCATCCAAAGGTGCACAGTTTATGTTCAGTCTCTTCCTCCCTCCCTTTCCACGATAGTAAATCCCTTTTCAGATAGTAAATCTGTTACTTAGCATTTTCTCATATCAATAATACCTCCACATGCCCAATGATACACTTCACACAAAAGACATTTCCAAATAGGTCAACCAGCCTCATCCAGGCCCCACCCAAGGCACTCACAGATCAACACCACAGCCCTATACTAACTCAACACATCCAGATCCAAGCCTTCATCACTTGATTGAGCAGACCCTCAAGTTCCCACAAAAGTTTCCAGCCATGTCTGAGAGGCAGCCGTGGGGCAGGGGCAGGGGCAGGCGAGGAGCGAGCTGTTCCGGGCCTGGAAGCTCTGGGCCTGACCTCTGTTGCTCTGGTTCGTTCCACAACCAGCTGCTCGGGGTCTGGTCACTACCACTCCCGACCTAGTTGTTCTGGACTTGGCTGTTGCTGCTCCAGGCCTGGCTGCACCTGACCCGGCTGCTCTGGGCCCGGTTGCTCCAGGCCCGGCTGCTCCGGGCCTGGCAGCTCCCAGCCTGGCAGCCGCTGCTCCGGGCCTCGGCCAAACATTTTTTAATGGGCAAAGGATCTGAATAGTACTTTCTCCAAAAAAGATACACAAATGGCCAATAAGCACATAAAATTTTTTTAATATCATTGGCTATCAGAGAAATGCACAGCAAAACTAAAATGAGATACCACTTAATACCCACTAGGATGGCCATAATTAAGATAAATAATAACAAGTGTTAAGTGAGGCAAAAGGGGGTTTACAATTGTTCATATGCTAATTACACGGTAACTAAATAATACAAAAATAAATATTAATACTAGATGAAAAAAATAGGTTAAATCAATATTTTATAGTAGTGTTTTTATTAGGTTCTTTGTTTTTAATTCAATGTATCTTTCCATATTCATAAGCAATATATTTTTCATTTGAAGTAAGAAAGACCAAATTGGATGTTTGTTTACTATCAAATGATAGGTGGCAGTAAAAATAGTTAAGCGCCTCCCTAAGCCAATAAACCCAATGCAGGACTATACTGTGACCTAAATTGGTCCAGTCAGAAGAAAACCAAAGTGTAATGGTCTGGGGGAGAAAAGAGCTCTCTCCTCCCTCTCGCCCCCTCTGTAAATGTTACTCTGCCTCAAGTAAACCAGCCCGAGAACAAAAACCACCAAGGGTGAGGTCAGAGCAAGAGAAACCTGGAAAAACTGAGCCTTAGCTTTGATACTATTTTGATCCCCTTGATCAAATTATTCCTAAAGTCAACACTACTGCTGGATTTCTCAGATATATGAGCCAATAAACTTTCTTTCTTGTTAAAAGTCAATCTGAATTGGGTTTTCAGGTGCTTGATTACAAAAGCAACCAGATACAGCTTCCAAAACAAAAGCTGTTCTTTGCTCTTATTGCAAGCAAGGCAAACTTAGATAAATATTCAATTACTTTAAAGGAAAGGATATTTACCTTGGCTTCCAACTGATTGGCAAAAAAGGGAGGGTTGCACATGCAAAAGTCATAGATTATCTCAGATTCTTCTTTAAGAGCATCCATCAAAAGTGTCTTCTGTGGTACTTTTACAACTAGGAGAAAAAAAACAGAAACTGTTAACCAATATTAATGCTGTGGTAGTTTTCAAAAATGTCCACAAATTCTTTGACAATAATCCCTTCAAAAGGTGGAGTTTGATTTCCCTCTCCTTAAGTACAGGTTGCACTCACTGACTGGCTTTTAATGATAGAATATGATGGAAGTGATAGGACACAGAGTGTCACTTCTGAGACTCCATTATAAAAAGTAATATGGCTTCTTCCTTTTCCCACCTCCTGAATTACTTGCTCTAGAAGCCAGTAATACAGGCTTCAGTATCTCCCTTTACAATAATATATTGACTTTGTGGAATCCTTTTATTTTATTTTTATTTTTTTAATATTTTATTGATTTTTACAGAGAGGAAGAGAGAGGGATAGAGAGTTAGAAACATCGATGAGAGAGAATCATCGATCAGCTGCCTCCTGCACACCCCCTACTGAGGATGTGCCTGCAACCAAGGCACGTGCCCTTGACCAGAATCGAACCCGGGACCCTTCAGTCTGCAGGCCAACGCTCTATCCACTGAGCCAAACCGGTTTTGGCATGACTTTGTGGAATCTCTTTATGGGAGTCTCTTAAATAAATAAAAAACACAAATAAATCACAGCCCTTTATATATATAAGACTAGAGGCCAAGTGCACGGAAATTTGTGCATTCTGGGTGAGGGGTCCCTCAGTCCCTCTGTGGGAGGCAACTGGGCATGTGATCAGGGGACAGCACCACCCCCATCAGCCTCTCTCCGTAGGAGGCGACCAGGTGGCCGATCAGGGAACGGCGCCAGCCTGCACGTCCCGCCCCTTCCCTCATTGCCCATCTACTGCCGGTCACTGTCATCCCACCCCCACCGCCAGCCCCTCCCTCTGCCCACTGGCACGTGCTTGGCTGGCCTGGTGCCAAGGTTCTCACCAACCCCGCCCCCTTCCACCGTTTGGCTGATTTGCATATTATGCTTTTTTTTAAAATATATTTTATTGATTTTGTACAGAGAGGAAGGGAGAGAGATAGAGAGTTAGAATCATCAATGAGAGAGAGTCATCGATCAGCCGCCTCTTGCACACCCCCTACTGGGGATATGCCCGCAACCAAGGTACATGCCCTTGACCGGAATCAAACCCAGGACCTTTCAGTTCCCAAGCCAATGCTCTATCCATTGAACCAAACCGGTTTCGGCTGCATATTATGCTTTTATTATATAGGATTATATAGGATACAGACAAACATAAAAAGTAACAGATTGCCAAGACCGGTTTGGCTCAATGGATAGAGCGTCGGCTTGGGGAATGAAGGGTCCCAGGTTCGATTCCGGTCAAGGGCATGTACGTTGGTTGCGGGCATATCCCCAGTAGGGGGTGTGCAAGAGGCAGCTGGTCGATGACTCTCTCTCATCGATGTTTCTAGCTCTCTATCTCTCTCCCTTCCTCTCTGTACAAAATCAATAATATATATTTTAAAAAAAGTAACAGATTAAGGGAATTCAACTATTTGTAGCAGAGTTCCATGTACTGAAATAAAAATAAGATGGTATAATTTAATCAACAGTGGGGTCTTCTTACTTTTAAAATCTTGGTGACTAAAATAAAATAAAACAAAATAAAAAACAACTGGCTGGTGTGGCTCAATGGTTGAGAATTGACATATGAAACAGGAGTCACAGTTTTATTTCTAGGTTTGGGACATGCCAGGTTTCAGACTTGGTCCCCAGTAGGAGGCATGCAGGAGGCAAACAGTCAATGATTCTCAGCATTGATGTTTCTCTCTCTCTCTCTCCCTTCCTCTCTAAAATCAATAAAAATATTTTTTTAAAAATAAATAAAATCTTGGTTACCATATTCTTCATATACAGTTGATTCTATTATTTACAGTATCTGAACATACCGTATTTTTCGGACCATAAGATGCACCAGTTTTTAGAGAAGGGAAATGAAGAAAAAAAGATTCTGAAACAAATAGTGTCCTAAAATATGTTATGTGCATTAAAACCCAACATCACAGTCATAAACACATGTAATCAACCCTATAAAGTAAACAGCAGCATTTAGAACCATTTTAGAGCCGGGCAAGCACACAGAGACCACACAGAGCCGGGCAAGTAAAAACACTTTTTTTTTAAAGTATATGTGTAGGCTATATTTGGACCATAAGACGCAGGGACTTTTCCCCCCACTTCTGGGGGGGAAAAAGTGCATCTTATGGTCCGAAAAATACGGTATATTTATGTTCTATAAAGTCATCACAACCACTGAATTAGTGAATACTGAACTATTAGCTCTGGAGAAAAATACAGGGTGGGTTAGGTAACCGTAAGCCTCTGGTCCAACATTTTCATCAACCAATCAATATAAATCTTATTTTATGTTTTTGTTTAAAGGTACTTTATTTAATATATATTGTTGATTCATTAACTCTAAACTCCTGGTCAACAGCACTAAACTCATGTCTGAACAAAGCTTCTAACACACGTATTTTCTGTACAAGGCACATCACAGCCTTCTTGCACTCAGGAACACTAGATAGCACTTACCTGTATTTTCCTGCGTATAAGACGACCCCCTAATTTTACAGTTAAAACATAGGTTTAGGCCTATATTCGGTGTATAAGACTACCCCCCACTTCCGAGGCAACACCAATCTGAGCAGGCTTTTTACTAGAACACAGTGTAGCTTCGGGTACAGAACATGTATAATTTGCATGCATAAAAAGCCTGCTTGGATTGGCTGAGTTAGAGAGGCGGTCTATTAAAAAAAGAACTGGTGTTGCCTCGGAGGTGGGGGGTAGTCTTATACAGCGAATATGGGCCTAAACCTATGTTTTAACTGTAAAATTAGGGGGTCTTCTTATATGCCCGGTCGTCTTATACGCCAGAAAATACGGTAAGCACTATATTTAGGGGCCATTTTATTTTAAATATATTTTTATTGATTTTTTACAGAGAGGGAGAGGAATAGAGAGTTAAAAACATCGATGTGAGAGAAACATTGATCAGCTGCCTCTTGCACACCACCTCCTGGGGATGTGCCCGCAAACAAAGTACATGCCCTTGACCGGAATCGAACCCGGGACCCTTCAGTGACGTTTTATCCACTGAGCAAACCGGTTTTGGCTTTATGGGCCATTTTAAACAATAAAATCACCAAGAAAAAGCACAAAAGTGCAAAGAAAATGGCGCTAAACAGACCACGAAAAGGACACTTTACAATGTGAGAGCTGAAACAAAAAGGCAGAGCATCACCTTGTTCAACTTCAGCTGGCAACATGCATATTGGGTGACTCAAATTTTTTTCTGCTCTGACCATGTCTATGGATAACCACCAAAGTACAAGTATTGATTTTGGAGTTAAAATATAACCCCATGTAGGCAAATTTTAGCAAGTAGGCAAATTCACTAATACAGAATCCACAGATTATGAAACTTGGTTGTAATTACTATACCTCTTTCTGAATTAATTCTGATAACAAAACAGTGAATTCAATTATAATGTACCAAATTTTGTATATTAAAGGAAAAGAATGAAATGTATTAAATTAAAAAAAAAGGTTACTAAAGCAAAGCTTAAAAGGGATATTTATTTTGTAGAGCTAACCTTTTATAAGATCAGATAAGTTATTCTGTTCCACATTTTTCTTTGCATAGTTGAAGCACATATCATCTACTTCTGTTGCAAGAAAATACCAGCCATTTAGGGTACTTCCAAGTAAAGGATAGATGCAGGATGCTCCAGTACCTAGTAAAATAAAAATTCAAAACACATTGTATATACCTGAGGGAGAGGAGAGAATAATAAGCAAAAACACCATTCTTTTCTTAGAATTCATATAGCCTTGGTAGTGGATTCTGGGTTCTCTAGTCTATAAATATAAAAGGCTAAGTAACCGACTATACGTATGTCCGATCATCCAACCAGCCAGTACATATGACGCGCACTGGCAATTCAAAAATAAACACTGACTCGCTCATGTGGGATATATATAAAGCTCTCGCTGGTGCCAATCACATGTATGCGTATCTTTTTTTTATTTTTTTATTTTATTGATTTTTTACAGAGAGGAGGAGAGAGGGATAGAGAGCTAGAAACATTGATGAGAGAGAAACATTGACCAGCTGCCTCTTGCACACCCCCTACCGGGGATGTGCCCGCAACCAATGTACATGCCCTTGACCAGAATCGAACCTGGGACCTTTCAGTCCGCAGACCGACACTCTGCCAGCTCTACCACTGAGCCAAACCAGTTTCGGCACATGCATGTGTTTCAATGTCATTGTCGATCATGAATTTTGTTGACACTTCTATTATAGAGAAAGGGCAAATAATGATATTAAAATGTCTTCTAATTAATTACCTTTCAATGGCACGAATCCGTGCACCAAGCCACTAGTTATTTCATGTGTTTGTCTTATCCCATACTTAGATTCAAATTTCTTAGAGGATAGAAATCTTACTAACCTCTTTTTTTGTATGTTTGTTTTATGTAAAATGAAGTATGGATAATTGGCTAGTGACCAAGGGATACATGATTGATAAACTGAAAATTGTCAAAACAATTTAATTTGCTTTATAAAAATGTCTTCATTTAAAATCTTACACAAATCCGCCAAAACCGGTTTGGCTCAGCGGATGGAGCGTCGGCTTGGGGACTGAAGGGTCCTGGGTTTGACTCCCGTCAAGGGCATGTACCTTGGTTGCGGGCACATCCCTAGTAGGGGGTGTGCAGGAGGCAGCTGATCAATGTTTCTCTCTCATCGATGTTTCTAACTCCCTATCTCTCACCCTTCCTCTCTGTACAAAATCAATAAAATATAGTAAAAAAAAAAAAAAAAAAAAAAAGAACCTGAGAATTTAAAAAATAAAAATAAAAAATAAAAAATCTTACACAAATCTTTATTTTCTTAAAAGAAATCAATGCTAATTGTTAAATCACCACAGTACTACAGTAAAATAGATCAATGGATACCCTGTTCCCCAAAAGTATAAAAAATACATAAGGCATAAACCCCTCCAATTCCCCACATATCTGTGAATTGTTACTTGAAGGAAATCAGAATAGAGAAAAAAATTTAAAGAGAAAATTTATATCTTAGATGTGAAGACATGGAAACACATTTGATCCAAACCTAAAACATCACCCAGCCAGCATGGCTCAGTTGTTGAGCGTCAACCTATGAACCAGGTCACGATTCAATTTCTGGTCAGGGACATGCCAGGGTTGCAAACTGGATCCCCAGTGTGGGGCATGCAGGAGGCAGCCAATTAATGATTCTCTCTCCTTTGCCCTTCCTCTCTGAAATCAATAAAAATATATTTTTAAAAATAATCTTACAAAAACAAAAAATACATCAATCACTGGCTAGACCACCAAAGTTTCAAGGGGACATTCATAGGCAGATGCTCCAGGAAAGATAATTCTTTGACAACTAGGGTTTGGTCCTAAATTTGTATGTAGAACCTCTAACTATACACTAATCTCAAATATTGCTTTTATAACCATTGGCCAATGTTGGCCAATAGGATCTTAAAGAGAAAAGAAGCCAGTGTTTCTCCCAAAGGCCTAAGTACAATAGTTAGCTCATCCCAGCCACTCCAGGCCTGTTTTCCTCAGTCATACCCTGGCACAGGAGAGGAGAGGCTAGAACTCCTCCTGACCCGGAGGAAACCCAGGCTCATCTCACAGCTTCCTCATTAAGAATTCTGAACAGTCCAGTAAAAAACAGGGCAACTGACGGCCAGAACAGTTAAGCTCTTTGACAGACATAGTGATTGCTAAACTTCCTATCACGTTTAGTGAGTAACATCCAGGCCCTGACGCTACTGACCAACACCTCCTAGGGGACATGTGATGTGGGGAGGGAAAGGATGGTAAAGGGTCCTCAAGCTCCTCTCAGAAGCCACAGTTATTTGCCCCTCCTCACCATTGTGGTAAGAGAGTCATGCAGAATAAGAAATTTCAAGCAGCACTTTCATCTATGCAGGGGGGAAAATCCAGACCACGTCCCCAAGCTCTTGATCTCACACAACTCTCTCTTCATATTTCAATTTTTTTAAAGAAAAAAAAAAAAAGTACACTTTCCTTCAGTTGCCCAACAATAAAGGGGTAAAAGTCCTGTCCTTCGCAAAAAAAATCAAGTTTCTCAATTCTTAAGACCAAAGACTTGCATTTTAACACCCGAATCCCCTCAGAAAGCTGAATGACATTCTTAAGTTACCACTTGTAATCTTGTAATGATAAATAAAAAATGACAAGTGTATAATCATGGAATTAGAGCAAATTGATGGAGTCTGGGGGAAGAATTTATATAGAACCCTAATTAGAATGAATGTGATTTCAGCACCAGTGCCCCTTATGAACAGCTAAAATCCATTAACCTCCTATATCCCCAAGTGTTATTTTAGAAGGTTTAGGGCATAATTAAAATAAATTAGTACCAAATAAGCTCTGAAGCTTTTTAAACTTTCTATAACCCATCAACCATGAACATAAAAGGGCAGAAGCTTTTGTTAACCCCATTATTTTTATATAGGACTTAGCTTATATGGGTGTTCAGATTTTTTAAAGTAAAAAAAAATCACATATTTATCAATATCAACAAATTATTAACTGAACACCTACTACTAGGCACTAGACGTTTTTTAGTCCTTGGGATATTATAGTAAGCAAAAAGGTAACAGGCTCCGCACTTTGCAAACTAGAGAAAGACATTAATCACTCAGGTAAGTGAATGTGGAGTTAAAAACTAAAAAAACACAAAAAACACACAACAACCCTGGCTGTTTGGGCTTGGTGGTTAGAGCATCAACCCTAGGACCTCATTTAGTGACTAAAAGAAGAAAGAGTAAAATAAGTTTCAATGGTTTGCATAAACAGGCATTAGTTGTTCCTGACAGTATTTAGTAATAAAATCAGATCTTTTCTTAAATTATTCAAGTTCCATATATATTATTTTTCCAAGTTAACATATAACTATCTTTTTTGTTTATCTTTTTAAAAAAATATATATTTTATTGATTTTTTACAGAGAGGAAGGGAGAGGGATAGAGAGAGTTAGAAACATCGATGAGAGAGAGTCATCGATCAGCTGCCTCTTGCACACCCCCTACTGGGGATATGCCCGCAACCAAGGTACATCCCTTGACCGGAATCGAACCTGGGACCTTTCAGTCCGCAGACCGACGCTCTACCACTGAGCCAAACCAGTTTCGGCTTAACTATCTTTTTTTCAAAGAGATTCTTAAAGCCTGTCTTTTTCTCTATAGCTTGCCTCATGGCATGTTATTTTTAAATGGCACTGTTGAGATCAGCCATGCAGATGGAAAAGTTGAAAATCTCTTTATAGGAAATAGTTTTGGAATTACTCCCACTATGGATAAGCAGTACATGCATGGAGTAAAATAGATGATTGTCAGGTAAGGTTATCTCTTTGTCATACACTCTCGTTTGTTGACTTAAAATAGATGAGACTGTTCTTCCTTAAAATAAATGCCAAGGGTTTGTACCTTGTGCTGCAGGTTCCCCAGCCCCGATAAGGGTGTGATCAAGAGGCAACCAATGAATGTGTCTCTCTCATGTTGATGTTTCTCTCTCTCTTCTTCCTCTTCCTTCTTCCCTTCCACTCTCTCTAGAAATCAATGGAAAAAATATCCTAGGTGAAGATTAAAAAAAAAAAAATTTAAATGCCATCATGGAAGAATCATAAAAATGTCGGTTATTACAAACATATAATACATTTATAATTGCTAAATATACCTTCACTTCATTTCCTTCTGTATATTCACTTGCACTCCTAAATGAATCAAACTGAACAGTTTTCTCCATTGTAGATGTTTGTAATTAAGAGAATATCTTACTTTGACTCATGATTTTCCCCACCTTTAATTTTTGGATTAAATACTCTACAAATAACCAAGAGGTTCTGAAAGTATTCAGGCCTACATGATCTTTTATCAAATGGCCATTATCACAAAAATCACAATACGGAAATTTTGTTACTAATATCAAATAATTCAGAGTAAAATTAATACCCAGTAGACATAAATACCAACATGGTAATCTGAAAAGCTAAGAAAACAAGAGCCTCCCTCATTTTGTCTCTCTTACCCATTTGCTCCCTATTTGGTGGTCAAAAGCAATTAATGGCAGAAAAGCCCAGATGTAGCAAATGAGAGCAGTAATATCCATAGTTAGGTTCTTTCACATAATACAAGATAAATTTATAAAGAATTCGGCCTTGAAAATTTTATTAAACTTACATGTAATCAAAAGAAGAATTTAAAATCACATACCTATGTCAATTCCTCTTCGGACAGTATTTTTGTCAGAGTCCTGATGACCAATCAGATCTTCTACCCAATGAATATAGTTGAGTCTCAAGGGAACCGTGGGAATTAGTCTCTCCAACGGAATATCAATAGAAAGCCCAAAATCCTCCCTTAGGAGAGTACAAGTCAGAGCTCTGACGGCTTCAGGATCTTTAAAATTAAGACTGTGGGATGGAGAAAAATAAGTAAAATGGATTAATAAGATTCAATATGCTGTACAAGCTCTATGGTAGCCAGGCCATACCGAACACCCACTTGAATTTCCTAACACATAGCTGTGTAGAGCAAGCATGTCAAACTCGCGGTTCAAAGGCTGCGTGTGGCCCACAACAAATGTTTTTGCAGCCTATCTAATATATTGGTATGTAAGAAACGTTTTAATAAACATTTCATAACTTACTTTTTACAATATCCTGTTATACATAACCTATAATAATAAAAGCATAGCATGCTAATTAGACGGGACGTCCTTCTGGACGAAGCCGGGACTGCGAGGGAAGCCCGGGTCCCAGGTGCCTGCTGGCAGCCCGGAGGGAAGCCTGGGTCCCAGAGGGAAGCCCAGATCCCAGGTGCCAGAGGGAAGCCGGTGCTGGCAGCCCCGAGGGAAGCCTGGAGAAGGAAGGCCTACTCTTGCACAGATTTCATGCATCAGGCCTCTAGTTATTAATAACAAACTACAACATTTGCTAATGATTGATTACTATAATCGAGTTGCATTCATTTCCCTTAAATGCCTTACATGCAGGCGCACCATTTCTCTCCACTAATTCTAGCAGCAAATATTTTAGCAGCCAATTGCCATGTCATTCAGTCTTGGACTGAGTTGTTCAGTGAGTGCCACAGGAAATATCTCACTTTTTGGAGAACAAGAAAAATAGGTTTATTTGCATTACGCTTATTAATTTGTGCAGTTATTCAGTGTCTGGTAAGTTAATGTTCAAGAAAAATATTAATTTTCATTAAAATGTTCTATTATTTTATGTTAACAATTACTCATTTATTTCAGCCCCTGGTATTCAGCATGTCTCTATTGAAATAAACCTATGTTTCTATGAAAATTGAAGCTTTTTTTTTTTTGGCCCACATAAACTTACACTTTATTTGCCCCGTGTTAGCCACTGAGTTTGACATGCCTGGTGTAGAGTATCCACACAAGGGTGTTTAACACATAGTATACAAATGGCAGTATAAGTTCCCATCAACAACACTGCATTTTCATACATGAAAGATAAAGGACAAATGTTTCTATTCCAGTTCCTGTCTGATTGACTCCTTACCTACCTGTATGACTTAGAACAAGTTGAGGACACGGTTCCTCTGCTATAAAATAGGAACAGTGGTACATATATCACAGTGTTTCTGGGAGATAATCTTGACAAGTACTTAGCATAATGCCCAGTACATAGTAACTATTTTAGAAATGCTGGCCATTTTTTACTATTATCAATTAACATGATGTGACATTAGCATATTCTTTGAAAATTAAATTTAAAAGTAGAAAGCAGAAAAAGTGTTTAATAATGAAAATAGAATATGATACTTAAATATGACAGATATTATATCAAATTTAAAATTTGATTATTTTTAGCAGCTTTACTGAGGTACAATTTGCATATAATAAAATTCACCTAGAATATACAATTCAATAGTTTTTAGGATATTGCACAACCATCACCACAATCCAATTTTTAGAACAATTCCACCAGCCCCAAAAAGAAGCCTTAAGCCTATTTGCAAGTCATTCCTTGTTTCTACCCTCAGATCTAGGCAACCACTAATGTACTTTGTCTCCATAGATTTGCCTTTTGTGGACACTTCATATAAATAAAAATCACACAATAAGCAATGAAGAGTCCATTTTTACACATGGAAAGAAGTTTACACATCTGCGTGTTCATATTACAGCATTCAAATAAATTCACATTCTTTTTTAATTTTTAATTTACTGGTGGTGGGGGGGAAGGAAGTGAGAGACAGAGAGAGAAAAACCAACCCATAGTCTTGTTGTTCCATTTATTTATGCAGTCATTATTGACTATAATAGCAACTTAACCTACTTCTAAACATCACTGCTAAACATACAGAAGTATATACCAGTGGTCGGCCAACTGCGGCTCGCAAGCCACATGCAGCTCTTTGGCCCCTTGAGTGTGGCTCTTCCACAAAATACCACGTGCAGGAGCGCACATATAGTGCAACTGAAACTCCCTGGTCCATGCACAGAAGTCGGTTTTCGGCTCTCAAAATAAATTTCAAAAACAAAAATAATTTAAATCGTCGTACTGTTAATATTTGGCTCTGCTGACTAATGAGTTTGCCAACCACTGGTATATACCAATATAATGATTACACTCAAAGCCTTAAAATCTAAAGTGTCAAATCTTAGAATTTTCCTATTGAAAAACTTAACCTATATACATTATAAAATTAATTTGGACAATATTACCTAAGAGCAGCATATATTGACTTACTGTCCTGCAACTTCTGAATGCCCTTTTGTACTGGCTTTTAAATAAAATTGTGGCCCAGCCAGTGAGGCCCAGCCAATGAGGTTGAGTGTTGACCTATGAACCAGGAGGTCACGGTTCAATTCCTGGTCAGGAAATAAGCCTGGGTTGCAGACTTGATCTCCAAAAGGGGGTGTGCAGAAGGCAGACAATCAATGATTCTCTCATCACTGATGTTACTATCTCTCTCTCCTCCTTCCTCTCTGAAATCAATAAAAAAAAATACTTTTAAAAAAGTCAAAGGAAAGAAAGTTAGTTGACAGGGGTTAAATATTTAAGAAAAGGAATACTGAGCTGTGTAAAGTTCCTGAGATGAGGGGAGAATATGAGATCCAGAGCACAGATGGAGTACTTAACTGAATTAGAATATAAAGTAGTAGTAGCAGTAGTAATATTTGGTTGTTGAACAGAACAAAAAGCCAAACCCATGGCCTTCTGTTGTGTTTTCCACCAATAAATTCTTCTCTACAACTGATTTTAAGAATTAAAAAAACAAAAAACAAAAACAAAAAACATTAACATCTCCACTGGTTAAATAAGCAATTACAATAGATACTAACATACAAAAGCAAGAATCCTGAAACAATGGAAATGACTATGACCATTATTGATAACCTTAAACCAAAGAACACAAAATCCTACTTGCAAAACACTAATAAACTGCCTGGATTAATCTCTTACACTAAGATTCCCAAGCTAGCTAAAGAGCAAAGAATAAGAAAAAAACTTAGCCTTCTAAGCACTCCCTTATCCTTTTTAAAAATATATATATATTTTATTGATTTTTCAGAGAGGAAGGGAGAGGGATAGAGAATTAGAAACACCGATGAAAGAGATACATCGACCAGCTAGCTGCCTCCTGCACAGGTGGGGGATGTGTCCGCAACCACTGTACATGCCCTTGACCGAACCCAGGACCCTTCAGTCCACAGACAGACGGCTCTATCCACTGAGCCAACCCAGTTTTGGCGTTCCTTATCCTTTCTAATACAATTAATAGTATATCAATTTTCTAACAAAACCCAATGACTTAAGAGGGCATAGAGGGAATAAATGGTGATGGGGAAAAGAAAATAAAGATAGAGAAAAAAAGACCAACAGTAAGTGAAACAGTTAAATAAATCTGTTTTGTATTACAAGAAATTTAGGAATAACCTAAAAGTAAACAACAGTGAGTTGACTGAAAAAGTTATAATACATCCACACAAGAGAATACTCTGCAGTCATTGAAAGGAATAAGACTGGGCTGATTCACATATTCCTATATGAAGAGGATTCCTTGATTAAAAAAAAAAAAGCCACAAGCTTTTTATATACATAAAAGCATATATGTACATTATGATCACATTCTTGTAAAAATAAAACAAAAACAAAGCAAAATATATAATGGTTGGATAAATGAGTACAAATGGAGACTTTCATTCTCCTCATGTTTTTATATTATCTAAATACATTTCATACAATATCACCTTCTTAATAGTTTTTTAATATATTTTATTGATTTTTTACAGAGAGGAAGGGAGAGAGATAGAGAGCTAGAAACATCGATGAGAGAGAAACAACCAATGTACATATCCTTGACCAGAATCGAACCTGGGACCTTTCAGTCCGCAGACTGACGCTCTAACACTGAGCCAAACCGGTTTCGGCTAATAGTGTTTTATAACTCTATGGAAAATATAATATAATGTCATCAAGCAGTGATAAAAATAAGTCCTATGATTACATCTGTATCAAAATTACAACCACAAAAATTACTATATAAGGACAAGGGCTTAAACACAAATAGATTTTTACTGTAGAAAAACTGACATTTTTCTTTTATGTCTGTAACATTAACATTATTATTTTTTTAATATATTTTATTGATTTTGTACAGAGAGGAAGGGAGAGAGATAAAGAGTTAGAAACATCGACGAGAGAGAGTCATCGATCAGCTGCCTCTTGCACACTCCCTACTGGGGATATGCCCGCAACCAAGGTACATGCCCTTGACCGGAATCGAACCCGGAACCTTTCAGTCCCCGAGCCGACACTCTATCCATTGAGCCAAACTGGTTTCGGCTGTAAAACATTAACATTATAAATGTAGTCAGGAAAAATATATTTCTGTCCTTTTCCCATTAAGGGCTCTATAATGCATGTACAATTAAAAACAATTTCAAAAAAGGAAAACAGGTCCTTGGTTCCAGAGTCCTTTGTTTCTATGAAAGAAGACAAGTCTGTTGGAGACCAAACAGGGACCTTTCCCACAGTGACAGCAATCGCCAAAAAATAGTACTGCAGCTTGAGCATTATCACCTAGCTTCATCAAACATCTGGAGCACATGTGTCAAACACAAGGCCCGTGGGCCAAATCCGTCCCGCCAGGCCTTGCAATGTGGCCCGCACCGCGCTGTCATCACTGCACTCCGCTGCGTTTCCATCACAATGACAGTTTATGACTGTTCAGTAAACCATTCGGCCCGCGATTTAGGCTGGATTTTAGATTTTGGCCCCTTCTCTGACTGAGTTCGACACCCCTAATCTGGAGCAAAGAAACAGCAATATAATTTTTTCTTCATTTTCTTCTAAGAAAATACAGACACTAATCTCAGGGTTGGAAATCTTTTTGTAGGACAAAGTCTAGTCATCCAACTTGAATAGTTCAATATCTA